TTTAAATGCAATCAAGAACTTTGCCTATTACACAGATTCTTACGAGTTTATAACCTTAAAAAGCTTTAAAAAACTTTAATAATAAGTACTTGCTCGAGTATTTTATTTACAAGCTCGATCAAAACGATATTTAATTAAATTAAATATTTTATCTTTGTAAATTAAACTTTGTAAGAAACGTTAAATTGAAAATAATAGGAACTTAAGAAGATTGTTTTAGTTTAAGTTTTTAAAAGCCATTAAGTTAATTTGCCACAGCATCTAACTCATAATAGTAAAACGAAAATATATACGTTATAAAACCCATCAGACCTAATAAAATAGGTTATATTTGTATCTACTTTTGTACTTTACGTGACGATGGAGAGTTCAAATTTCTTTTAAAATATCTTCTATGCACCTGCGTAGAATATAGCACATGTAAATGTTCCGAATTGTATAAGGTACGAATCAACTGCCGGGAGGTGCACGTAACATAATATTGCATACATCTTTCCATTGAACTGACATGGCAAATTTTATTATCCAGTAAAATGTAAAACGTATCGCGGATAGGTGTTACAAAATCCTGTAAAACTGTACACGATGAAAAGATGGTGCCAATTGGTGACATATTTTCTCGATTTTCCGGTTGAAGCAAATTGGAAATATGAAAACGAGTACATCGCACTGGGTAAGTGCGGTTCATAACGTTACGTAAGATTCAGATTCAATTTCCGCCGGATCTCAAAGAATGACATTAGACGAGAATGGGGTGGGGAGACAATGGGAGAGAAAATAGATAAATAATGGAAATTTTAAATTAAAGTTTAATGTAAATAATAAGTAGAAAAGAAATTCTTTCCGTTATTATTTTACTGTGCATTCTTTAACAGATGTTTTAAATAATTAAATTTTCACAGAAAAAATTCACATCGTCATAGTCTCTTCTCAAGGGAGTTCAATTCAATCTCATAAAATTACCTCGCAAATGGCTGTAACATGGCTAGTATCAAGATAAGGTCGAAAGCTGTCGAGCTTACGGAAAAGAGATCGACTTAAACAGATTTCTATGCATTTTCCGGAAGTCCTCCCGGTTAAACGAACGTTTAGAACTTGAATGTCGAGACGCGACGCTTTGGAACAAATTAACTACCAGACGTCGCCCATTATCCTTAATAGGCCAAGAGGCATTAGTCCTGTTGCATAAAGCACTCCTCTTCCTTTAAAGACGGTTAGTAGAAACACAAGTTTGACTATTTATTGTAACAAATAAGAACTAATATAAAGGCTAGAGGCGAAATACATATCTTAAAATTCTTTGATACTAACAAGATTATTAATTTCAAAGTTACTCAATTAAATGTGATAGCTTTTGAATACAGGATCAAACTTTTAAATTAAAAAATAAAAATATCAACGCTGAAATAGTTTTCTTTCGTAAAAGAAATCACTTAAATTAATGTATTGTTTACACAACAGATCGGAAGTAAGAAGATTTTGGGAGATGATGAAATAATTAAAAAATAATTTGAATGGAAAAGAATGATTTTATCTAGATTTTATCACTGATATGCGACACTGCGGCGAAAATGGGTTAACACTGAACTGTTTTGATTAAAGATTGTTGAGCAAGTATTAGAAAAAAATCGTTTTTAACTTCACAATTATTTTATAAATATCTTTTGGAATTAATCAACACAAACAAGAAGCTAAGTAAGGCAAGAGTACACAATTCACTCAACATATTTTCCAATAAATAATCTTTCAAAATTTCGATATCAAAAAGTGATGGTTCAATTTAAGTAATATCAAAATGTTTTTATTTTTTATTTTTTTTAATACAACCTCATTAAAGAGCGCATTCGTTTGAATATGTAATTAAAATCAATGTATACACTTATAAAGCCAAATATTAACTGTAAATATTTAGCATTTGCAAATTAGTTTAACTTTGAAAGGGTTACGATACAAAATTTAAAATTTTTGTCGCTATCTTTTATGCAGAGCTTTTGAATATATTAATAAAAATTTACCAACCAATTTTTTCATTTTAAATATTTTCATTTAGTTAGTTAAGTTTTATTAAATCATGGAATATTTGAAATGTTATTAAAAATGTATTAGTAACTGTTAAAAATATAGTTACAAGTGTTTATTTAACACATTTTGTTACTTTAAAATTAAGCAATCTTTAAGCTTATTGGAACGATAAAAAAAATCACAAGCTTTCAAAAAACTTTAAGAAATAAAGTTTAGAATATTTTAAGAAAAAGGAATACATTCAGAAAAGAGTTAATACTTTATGAGAATTAAATTATAAAGAACTTTTATAGTAAACTATTTTCTAGATACTTCAGAAATGTTAACAATTTGAAATATTTAAATATAATAATTACTTGTTGGCAAATCTCTTTTTAACAATTATAATCGGTAAAAAATATTTGTATTATTGGATAAAATAGTTGTTAAAATATCCTGAAACTAAAATTACCTACGATATATCTATCTCTCTCCCCAATCTAAGTTACAAGTAACCATTAAACAAACGGAGACATCCAATTTTAGCTATTGTCTATCACACGCAAAAGAATTAATGATTTCGCCTCATTTCACTCTTGAAAAACGGTCTTCCACCCACACAAACCCAAAATACTCTCGGATAACGAGAGTAGTTTTAAGATTTCTATTACACAAGTGAGTATTTGGATGGATTTTCAGTTCCATTATTCTAACAAAGCTCGACAAAGAACTTACTATTTATAGCTACACTTCAGTAATAAATCTGTACGACTGTTACTGAGGCTATAATTACGGAAGGTAGCAACAGGGTGCACAATTTTCTTTTACGTTTAGTTTTAGTCTTTTGCCTGGAAATTTATGTAGCGAGTAACAGTACAGTTTACGCTTGTCATTTTTGGCGATCAATAACATATTCTTTTTAAAACGTATATACACGATTATCTAAACATTTTAAAAGACGTTATGTTATCATATTTTTGTTCCCCTTTAGCCGTTCGTGAGATTGGATTAGCGCGATGCCTTTAGACCCTTTATAACATTTCGGTTGGTTCATGGTAAGCAGACACACGACCGTCCCATTACAGTAATTAGTATGAGAATTTGTCACCCTCCTGGTACATTCGTGGTTTTTCTACCCTAATACGTATTATCATTAATATTCGGATTATGATAATATCTCTTAATCAGATTAACGCCTTTACATTTTCAAAATCAATACAAACTGCTAGAACTTATAACATCATCTAGTTAAAATCAATAGCTAAACGCTTAACATAACTTGAAATCCAATTAATTTACATTCCTCGAACGAATGACAAGTTCAATTAGGCTGTCGATATTTAAAAATGAAATCGATTTGTATTATAAGTGTAAACGTTTCTATTGAATTCATTCAAAATTGAATTTCAACCAATTTAAATATTTGATACCTATACAATGTCGAGATTATGATGCAGCTATCCGTATAATTTTCCATTCATAGATATATTTTCACACGTTGAAAGGTTGACGACATCAAAGGGCCTTCTCGACAACTACGTGATAATAGTGATCCTTCTAAGAAAAGTTCTGAAGTTGGCAACACTTTTACGCCTAAATTAGTTCTTTGAAAGCAAAGAGAAGTCGTGCAGTCAAGAGAATGTCTCCTCTTTTTGAAAGCAACAAATCGATTTCTTGCAGTATTGAGTAGTGTTGGAACGAAATGTTTGAGATTCGGCGTTGTTGACAACGTTCGTAGGTGTTATAAAACCACTATTGAACCGGATAAAATTGTAAATAAATCATATTATGCAGCGATAACCCAAAGGCAGGCATGAATTTGAAGAATGCAAACATTTAAAATATGTAATCCTTTTTGAAGTTGTTGTGTAAAAATAAACAATGGGATATGTTTTTAATTATGAATATAAGGTACAATGATGATAGTAGCTGATTAGTGTACTTCAACGATACGATGGTAAATTCCCTGAATATTTTATTAACAACAACATACGTACTATTTATACGTTTGTTTTTATACCATACTTTATTTCATTTATAAAAATTACTTTGTACGGATATAAAAATATTAACGAATGCATTAAAAAAACCTGAATTAAATTTTCAATAAATTCATTGTTCTTCAACGTAGAATTTCCATATATTTTCAAACTTATTTATCACTCGTTTCTTTGAAATCGCTGCTTCTATTAAAATCTCGTGTGCAATGTTATCATACATGTACATGAAGTAATAGAGTAGTCACATATTGACTTATAAGTTTGAGTGCGTTCATTACGGCGAACTTGGCAATTCCTGAGGGCTGGAATAACAGTCAGAGGTAAACATCTGAGAGGAAACATTGTCCTTTACCATCGGAATCACGATGGCTACATAAACTTTTATCGCCAAGAAAAAAATTCGATAAAACACCCTTTAGTGCAGGTAAAGTGTTAAAAAAAATCAACGTAAGTTTTATTAACTAAAAAGTAAGTTTTCTGTGGTTCTTAATCAAAATGTAAATCACAGTTAGAAGTTGACATAATTAAAATCGTGCAAAAAGCTATGTTCCTACTACTAAGCTTTAGCAGGAAGCGAAGGCGAACAAACAAAAGTGGTGTTATAATTTCCCTGGACAGTGGTCCTCGGATATAATATTAACCCAATCTCAAACTCCGGTCGTCACCCATACCCATAATTTCACGGAGACCGCAGTAGTTCTATATCGTGGTTTGGTGGGAGACGCGTTCGGCGCGTTATGTTATGATTAAAACAGGCATCTATAAATGACGCTCTTTAATTAAAAATTTGCATATGAACAGTAGCCGCCCCCATATCAAACCTGTAGGTACGACTTAACTTCACTCCTCATCGATTTATTCTAATGGACGGAAACCACGTAAACCGCATCGTAATAAGTTTGGGTAAGAGGAATTCTACGATTAAGTAAACTTTTTTCCGAAAATTTTTTTATTAATAATTTTGTAATATTTTTTTAAATACTATTTTCCTATTTCCAGATGAATACCAGCAAATTAATCATATTATCAGCCTACTTAGTGGTGGCTGTGTTCGCTATATCGGAAGAGCAAGAGTCCTATACATATCAAAAACGAGGACCAGCAGGTAAAATAAACAATTTCTTTTCTAAAGATATTAAATTTTTTGTTTTAGAATTTAGTTTGGGTCCAAGATATGGAAGAGCCAAAGTAGACGTTCCCGTACAAAGAAGCGGCAAATTACAGCACAGAAGCAACCAATTCTATTTGGGACCCAGGTAAAACAAATCTTTATACAAGAATTTCCTTGTGTGGTGATCGGAAATTCTCTCTAAATCCAAATTATGCCCACGTAATTAATAATTAACTACACACCACGCTAAATTTGAAAGTATCTATAATAATCCAAACCGGCTAATTTGGTTATTTCCTTATTCAACACGCCCGATTATAATTATCCTGATTATACAGCAGATTAATTAAACTTGAGAATGAAATCATATAACCTGATACAATTTAATTCAATATTTTAAAAAAGAATCCATAAGATTTCATTTTATTAAAATATTACAACATTACTTATTGTTATTTTTAGATATGGTAAACGATCCAGCGACCCACAGGCCATCATGAGCGTATTCCCACAATCTCAACATCGTCAACCGCCCTGTTTCAACGATAACGACTTCGCGTGTGACTACACAGGAGTATCCAATTTGTACCGTTGTATTGAAAGGTAAGTCGACCAACGATCCCCTTTATAAAACAACATCGGCATCGTACACACTTACGTGAAACCGCGAAAAGAAAATTGTAATAAAGTGACTCTTTTAATATTATTGCTATACATTATTATAATATTATCAGATTTTATAAAACTTTTTAACAATAACTATAATTTAAACGATTTAGCATTATTAGTTTTGTACAAGCTAAAAGTTGTCTAATGGGCTAAATTTTATACGTGAATAAAAAGTTATAATTCTCGAAATAACCTGGAGTACCAACTAAACAACCACCAATTATAAAAATAAATAACTTTCATTATACAGAAAAAAGAAGGGTGGAAATGAAATAGTATTAAAAAATGTATTACGAGCTGAATTAAGGAATGTTCCATTAAAGAAAGGGTAGAATGAAATTGCAAGAAATTAGTTTCAAGAGAAAAAAAAATGCGATTAGTCTTCCTAAGAGTTTTTTTTTAGTAAAATCTCCATTTCCGGTTATGCAATATGTTTGAAATTTATTTGTTTGTTAATTTTTTAATTACCTCAAAGATTATAATAATATCATAACTCACAAGGGAAGTATCAGAACTGTCCTTCACCGATTTTGTTGAAATTTGGTACAGCGATAGTATGGCCAAAAATAAGGTTTACGTATTTTTTTATACGTGCTAATAAAGCCCCTGGGGCGAGTTATAAGGGTTGGAAATCGGGGCGAAATATATATATATTCGCTTATAGGGTGAAAACGAAAATAGTTATCGAAATGTGGTAAATGTAAACTGATATTCATTTTCAAAGAGCTTTCCATTGATGTATCACACATATATCTGAGGGCTTCAGGGGGTAAACTACCCCTAGTTTTTTGGAATATTTCAAAAACTACCCTGTCGATTTTGGCGATATTATGTGTCCTTATAGTACGTTTAAAAATATTAATGACGTGTTTTTTCTTATTTGCCTCTAACCATCCCCTGCAAAGTTACGGGGTATGATAGATAACCCCTTTCCTTAAGAATAATGTGATAAACTGTTACACTGTAGAACAATATTTTGAAGAAAAGCATAAATTAGATGTAAATTAAGATTTCCGCAGTAAAATAAACCCTATACGACATTTAGGGGTGGCTGGGGTTAACTACCCTNATCGGGGCGAAATATATATATTCGCTTATAGGCTGAAAACGAAAATAGCTATCGAAATGTGGTAAATGTAAACTGATATTCATTTTCAAAGAGCTTTCCATTGATGTATCACACATATATCTGAGGGCTTCAGGGGATAAACTACCCCTAGTTTTTTGGAATATTTCAAAAACTACCCTGTCGATTTTGGCGATATTATGTGTCCTTATAGTACGTTTAAATATACAGCGTGTCCCGTATCTTCCGCATCAGAGCATTATACGGTTGTAGAATACATTATTCTGAAGCGAACTTTCTAATAAAACTTTTTCGAAATGTTTATAATAACCGCACGGAAACTGTTTAACGACGACCAATAACGGACGACTTTGATTCATCAAAAAAGATTATTTCTCTTTCCATGACGAATCTATTGGTGAGTACACGTGGGAAACGAGTTATCATCGGCGTAGCGAACCGGCCGAGGGTGGCACCGATTACCTGAGTCTGATTTGCGATCTGCTGATTGGCCGAAAAACAGTTCCTTTAAACAGTTCCCGTGCGGTTATTATAAACATTTCGAAAAAATTTTATTAGAAAGATCGCTTCAGAATAATGTATCCTACAACCGTATAATGCTCTGATGCGGAAGATACGGGACACGCTGTATATATCCAGATGCAAACCAGGCGTATTTAAAAACATTAATAAATCGTGGGGAAGACAACTGGTTATGCGTTAAGGATTGCAATTTTACAATATTATCTCGCTGATGCAAATTGAAATCGTACTGGTAGAGAATAACTTGATCAGAAAATCTTCTAATGAAATTTTTCCATATTCCAAAACCAAATACATCCAAGGGTTGAATTTGACCTGTTGTTCCTGCAGCTATAGACAAATATTTAAACTTAACATCCGATGGAGTTACTTTACTAATAATTTCAGGGCAGTGGTCACTCCAAGAATCCAGTAATAGTAATAATTTGGGTCCGGTGTTTGGGAAATAGACATTTTGTAGCCAATTTTTCATATGAGCAGAAGTCAGTTTACCAGACTTTGATGCCAAAACGAATATGTTATCTGCTTTGAACATTGTATTTATTACCCTCGGTCCAAACGTACCAGAGGATTCTAACAATGTAGAATACAATTTGTGATATTTAACCATTTTTTTCAGTTGCTTTTTAACCCATTATTAATAAATATTTATATAATTATCCTAGCTTTTATGTTATTTAAATAGAATAAGGATAAAAAAGCTTTTTCTGTAGGAGTATGAAAGTTATTAGCGAAAATATATTTTCTACCCCAAACTTCTAACCCTTGTTCTTACAATAGTACTAACGTATAAAAAAATCAATTTATTTGGGGTGGTTAGGGTAGTTAACCCCCGCCACCCCTTAATGTCGTATAGGGTTTATTTTACTGCGTAAATCTTAATTTACATCTAATTAATGGTTTTCTTCAAAATATTGTTCAAAAGTGTAACTGTTTATCACATTATTCTTAAGGAAAGGGGTTATCTATCATACCCCGTAACTTTGCAGGGGATGGTCAGAGGCAAATAAGAAAAAACACGTCATTAATCTTTTTAAACGTACTATAAGGATACATAATATCGCCAAAATCGACAGGGTAGTTTTTAAAATATTCCAAAAAACTAGGGGTAGTTTACCCCCTGAAGCCCTCAGATATATGTGTGATATATCAATGGAAAGCTCTTTGAAAATGAATATCAGTTTACATTTACCACATTTTGATAGCTATTTTCGTTTTCAGCCTATAAGCGAATATATATATTTCGCCCCGATTTCCAACCCTTATAACTCGCCCCAGGGGCTTTATTAGCACGTATAAAAAAATACGTAAACCTTATTTTTGGCCATACTATCGCTGTACCAAATTTCAATCAAATCGGTGAGGGACAGTTCTGATACTTCCCTTGTTAGTAAACATCCATCACAACGTCAAGACCGATTAAAAGATTTACTCTTTATAAACTTCGTATACTTTACTTTGTATTACATGAGTCAAAGAAAAAGGATGGTTAACTATTTCAAAGTTAGATTAGGGTGCAGACAACTTTGTCGACAAAATTAAATGTAGTTAGATATGCATACGTATGTGGAAAAGGATAACTCAATTTCGGTTATACGGAGGCAGTTTAGCCGCCTCCGATTTCCTACGGATGAATTTTGCGATCTTCATTAAGAGTTGTGTTAGTTCTGTGTAGACTAGGACTTTAATCTTTGATACAAATTTTAATAATTAAGACAGAAAATTTACATAACAGACGCTACACGCATTTTAAATGTTTTGTCTACCGATTATGTCTCGTAACGCTCAAGATCGACATGACCAATTTAATACGGCTGTTGTGATAAGTGATATTATTAAGATAAGTGTTATCCATCTTGAATATCACGTGGGAATATCTGAATAATGAGATATTAAACTCATTATGTGTATCTGTATGTTTGTTGGAATAGAAACGAGACAATTACATAATTGTATAATCTAAGTGTTACTATTTTAAAATTTTATAAAGAGATTTAAACTAACAGATTCGCTAAGAAAAGATTTTGTTGATAAGAAAGTATACTGAATCGAGCGGTTTCAAAGTAAAATATAGCTTAATAATAGGGTGCCGCGGTAGTTCACGGATTTTACGACAGGCTTTCCAAAATACTATAACTCACAATATAGTAAAAATATCGGAGACTGCGCAACAGATTACATTTTATAGATACGGGATTAAAAAAATAAGTACACACATAAATCAAAAAATGATGACTGTGTGTTCTTAAGAGGTTTCTATTTCACACTTTTACACTTTGAAAACGTATGACTTTTATACTAAAAATATTGTAAGTTTCAGGAATGATGGCCCAATAGACGACATAATATCATCCACATCGTAAACATCTCTATTAAGACCACCACCACTACTAAACATGTGATTCGAGGAATTCTGTTTCATCTATCTCTTCAAATTGACAAAATCCTGTTAACAACGACCCGTTTATGGGCTGGATACGGATCGTTGTTAACCGAAAAATCCTCTCCTATCGTTTCCTTATAACATATATACAAAACTATACCTACCCACTATACATAACGTACACTAAGTCAATGTGTTACAGTGCAATAAGAAATTTACGTATGTTTCAATAAATGTTCGTATTGAAGTCTCGATGATTCTTTGCCTTTCCAAATAATCCCTTTACAGAAATTCCGAAGATGACCTTTTATCATCCGAGTGGAAGACGAAGGTAAGAATCGAAATCGCATGAAATCGACTTCATTTCCCTTTATTAGCAAATAATAGCACGCGAACGAAATTGTCGAACGATTTAGAATTTTCTCACTTCAACAGACAACTACTAGCCAAGTTGACTGAGAAATTGGGATGATAACTTAGTTACTTCGAACCCTCTTTTTATATTTTTTTTCAATTTTACTAAAACTATTTCGGACGTATCAGTAAAAATCGATTGAGTCGTTTAATCCGGAAGCTATTATTGCTACAGATTAGCGAAGAGCTCTTAAGAAGTGCTTTGAGTTATTAAAGTTATTATTGGATTTTCTAGTATTGACATAATTCCGAATCAATTAATTTGTTCTGTATTTAAAAGAAGATTATGAGACAACAATATTTCATTGTTAACTGTAAGAGGTTATTCATTATTAGGCGTAGCAGATACCCAATAACCCGTAAATTTTCTTTCCTGGTGACATACGTCGATGTTGGAATAAATAATTACCAAATAATAGCTCAATTTTCTGATCTGTTTCGCGTAAAATACAACGTAAACAGAGTATAACACGTTATTAGTTTTTCGCGTTAATAATAACGTTTAAATTACGATGTAGTTTGATGTAAATACGACATGCACGGATTAAAGTTTATCAACGAATTTCAGTTAACAATAATTAGGATGCGAAGTTAATATGCTTTTCAACGATATAAACATAATAAATAAAAACTTACCTTAAACCTAAAACTTCTTTGCTGTATGTATCGATGTAAATATTACTGTTTGGTTGCTAAGAGGGCATAACATCTAGGTGAAAGTCGCTCATCCGTAACTTTACAAACAGTGGCGTGCAAACGGTTCTGCCTCAGGTACTCAAGTCTGTCGAGTAGGATTAGGTTTTCACAAACGATTTGCACGGCAGTCTGCAAGGAAGTTAAGGCTTCCGTCAGGGGCAAGTGACGACGACAGTTGTTCCACTTATCCAAAAAAGCAACCCGAATCTCACTGCAGTCGACAGGTCGGTTAGAACTTGTGAACGAGTGCGTGGACGACAAGTTGTTTGAGAATGTTTCCGCGTCGAAATCTTTGCTGTTGATCGATTTGCCAGATTTCCGCTTTAACCGCCGAATTTCGTAACCACCTACAACAAACATTAAGAGATTGAACGTAAAACAGACTAATTTTAAATGACTAACCTTCCTCGGCAATTTCTTGTAAAATTGCTCGGAATAAACAATTTTTTGCATGAATGTCGTGAGCGTTATGGTCCAGTTCTTTCCATGATTCGCAACTTTGTTGTGCTGCTAATCTTAAAAATGGTCGCCTTAAAAATGTTTCAATTTTAAAATTTTCAGCGACTCTTTTTAAGATATCACTACATGGAAAGTTCAGAAAGGTTTCTAAACCATCTTCGATGGAATTTATTGTTAATCGATGATAACAACATGGCATTATTACTAAACATTTTGCCGAAGTAATTTTTAGAAATAACTTAAGAATAGTTATACTTAAATCGGCACAAGCATGAAGACCAGTTATACAAAAATTATCCAAACCTAAATTAATTAATGTATCTAAAGAATCTTTGGTTATATAATTATGTAAATATGAAACATTTTCAATCGAATGGGGGTAATATTTCTTTTGATACTCCTCTGCTAATCTAACTTTCTTTTCGTCGCCTTCAACCCCAATAACTTTAAAATGAAATTTCTCATTAATAAGATGTGGAAGATACCCCTAGAAATAAGTAAGCAATAATAATCAATGTTTGTTTATTTTTTTTAATTTCTTACAAGGCCACATCCCACATCAAGAACACTTTTAACATCTTTATCCCTACAAATACGATCAACCACCGATGATAAACACAAAATTTCGTGTTTCTTTTTTATTCCTATCGAGATGTTTTTCGGAAAAGTAAAAGATATATTTTCCGGCAAAGTTTTCAACTCAAATTTAGGTTTCAAATTGTCAAGCTTCCGTAGAAATTGTTTTAAACTCAAAGGAGCATTTTCCTAAAACATTTTTATTACATTCCAGTTCATATACAATGTAACATTATCAACTTTACATTAACTATCCCCAAAGCTAAAGAATTAAAATCGTTGGTATTAAATTTATTAAAATATTCCACCCAATCTAAAGGAATCTTTTCAAAAATTTTATTTACCAAGATATGAGTATTTGGGTAATTATAAATCCATTGATAATCGTTTAAAAATTGTAAACAGTCGTGCATATATGTTTTTGAATCCGTGTAGGACTGAGGTATTGCCATGATTTTTTTAATAACCTAAAGATGATATATAAGATTAAAATCTTAATCTAAATGTTATTGTTAATAAAATTATTTCACTTCATTTTTTATCAAATTAAGCAAACAAATAATTCGCTTTATTATGATCGTTACGAAAAAAGCAGTAAAGATAGCAAAGAAAATCAGTATTAATACAAATGTAGGAATTAAATATAGAATATCAGCGTCCAACAGGAGATCCATAATCAAATTTTACATGCAGTATTTATCAGAGGTGAGCAGTACCTGGGCAATTAAGTCCGTAGATTTATACAGGTCTCACGTAACTGGTTCGTTAGAACTTTTTTAGGTTCCACTATTCGTAGAGGTTTGAAATTTTGGTAGCATGGGTTGTTCATTCTAAACTTTCAATCTAAAATATTTTCAAGATGGCCACCACTTCCGGTCTACCGGAAGTAGACCACAACTTCGTTATTTTAAATGGAATGCTATAGTTTTTATTACACCTTTCAATTACACATAAAAAAATATGTTGACTTTGATAAAAGTTGTTGGTACCTACCATTTTTTGTTTTCGAGTTATTTTGATTTTTAGCTTTTTTTGGCAAATTTCACCATGCTCTTTAAATGCCTATATCTCAGTTAACGTTCATTAAAAAAACCTCTAAATTGGCACGATTACTCTTCAAATGTTACCAAATAGATTGTCATTTCTTGTATCAGAATATCTTATACAGGGTGGTCAAAAATTGAATTACCGTTTCTCCATATTCAATGGCTAGAAAGTCGAAAATTTTAAATGGAACACCCCGTATTTTTTTACCCTATCAGAAAGGGAATTTAATTCTCTACAAATTATCTATAAACATTCCTATACCTATTTATTGTAGTTTCCCTGATATTGGGACATTAATCAAAGTATGCACGGAATGCGGGAAAACGTTTGTTTTTTTTATTAGAATGCAATGGAATTTTGACAGTTTTTGGTCCATATTTGTGTTATTGTTGTTGTTACTTACTTTTGATCACGAGTGAAAGTCATTGTATATCATGGCAAATTATTCCAACGCCGATATTTTAAATTTGTTTTATATTCATGGCAACGGCCTCCACGATCTCCACATTTAACACCATTGGATTTTTATTTGTGGGGTCACTTAAAAAATCAAGTGTACAATTCACCAATCAACACACGACAAGAGTTGCGTGATAGAGTGATGCGTGCACTACGTACTATTGATGGCGACCAACTTCTACGGGCCACAACCGTAGAAGTCGAAAGAAGAGTTAAAAAATGTTTAATGGTGAATGGTCAGCATATCGAACAGTTTTAATTTTTTTATAATTTTAAGTTTTTGTTTTTTTATATCTTATTCATTCTAATTTCTGTTATTAAATTGTTGTTTTTCATTGTTTCATTTATTCTTTTTGCTGTTGGTTATTTTTGGTAAATAAAAGCGAGCAAGCTAAAGGTTATTCAATCATAGTTATTTGTAGAAATAATACCAATAATAATTTAAATAAATTAAACGATGAACTGTCAAATTGTCTTGGCCTGCTAACAAAAACACAAACGGGCTTTGGGATTTTATGTCTGATTTTGATTAATTTTCCAATATCAGGGAAACTACAATAAATAGGTATAGGAATGTTTATAGATATATTGTAGAGAATTAAATTCCCTTTCTGATAGGGTAAAGAAATATGGGGTGTTCCATTTAAAATTTTCGACTTTCTCGCAATTGAATATTGAGAAACGATAATTCAATTTTTGACCAGTCTGTATAAGATTCTCTGATACAACAAATTACAATCTATTTGGCAGCATCTGTAGAGTAGTCGTGCCAATGCAGAGCTTTTTTGAATGATCGTTAGCTGAGATGTGGGCTTTTAAAGACCATGGTGAAATTTGTCAAAAAACACTTAAAATCAAAATAACTCGAAAACAAAAAACGCTAGGTACCAACAACTTTTATCAAAGTCAACATATTTTTTTACGTATAATTGAAAGGTGTAATGAAAACTATAGCATTCCATTTAAAATAACGAAGTTGTGGTCTGCTTCCGGTAGACCGGATGGGGTGGCCATCTTGAAAATATTTTAGATCAAAAGTTTAGAATGAACAACCCATGCTACCAAAATTTCAAACCACTACGAATAGTGGAACCTTAGAAAGTTCTAATGAACCAGTTACGTGAGGCACCTGTATAAAATCCGAGATTTTATTTAAATTTCTATTGTTATCTTTTATTCCTGCTTAATTTAACTTGCGTAATTTTTCATTCACTAACCGTCGGTAATGTAATCGTTTTAAAATTTTAATAATTCATGAAAAGTGAAAATAAGAAATTTAACGTTAAAACCAATAAATATCTTTGCAATATAGTTATGTAAATTAAATCTTATCAAAAGAAAATTTAAGTTAGAATAACAAATTACCTTACTGGTTGGTTTCTTTGGGGCGTTTCAACGTCTACTTCTCTTTCTACAAAAAAGAAAAGAAAAATCTTAAGAAATTTAAAGTAAAAAAAATAAATAAATAATGAGCGATAAACATAGATTACCCAGGAATACAAATGCAATACCGAAATTTAAATTCATAAAGTATTGGATACTGGTAAAAAAAAAAACACTGTATTTTAAAAGTAACCATTTGAGGTTTCAAAAATCAATCAACTTAAACCTCACTTCGAATGAATTGAACCTTTATGTATTGCTTCTTTAATATTAACTCAATGCATTTTACATTTTTCGAAAGTTGTTCTACCGACGTTCAATTTCCGCTTCACTTAACGAGTCTTTCGTCAAATATGCTAACTTAATATCATCTTTTCGTGTTCGTGAAAACTTTTTATCTATTAAAAATGATATATTCAGGAGTTGTAAAAAGTTCTAAATTCACCCCTGTATATTATATTTCACATATTTAAAATTTTAGAGGATGTGAAGAAAAAAGAAACCAAATTAAGTTCTATGTACTTCTTTAATCTCACATTTTCAAAGTAAAAGAAAAATAAGTTACATTAACAATTTTAATAACATAAATAACAAATCTATTGCAAATCTATCCAATCTGTTCGTTTTCAACAGTAGTCCAAAGTTCTTTCGTCCTTGAAGCTGTATTTAAATTTTCGCTTTTAGGACCTAGTATTACTTTACTAGTTTGTGAAGGTGAATCCCGCGACAAATATTTTTCGCTAACATCTTTTAATCCATCACGATTGACGACCATTATATCCGCCCTATGTCTTTGTAAAATATCAGGACTAATCCCCATTAAAAACTCTCTCATCCCTTTATTAGATGGAGTTAAAGGGGCATCAACAGCTTGAAACACGCCTAACTTAGCTTCCAAAATGTCCTGATTCGTCACTTTACTCAAATCGCTATGTAACCAGCTATAACTCTTATCAAAAATATCTAACGTAGCTAAATGATTTGGATCTCTGTAACTATAAAAAGTAAAAACGCCGTCGGAATTTATTCTCGCCCCACTTCCATAAGCCCCCCGTTTTTCTCTTAATTCTGGATGAAGATATCTCGCTGACAATAACCTTCCCAAAACACGCAGTTTAGCGTAGTCTGCATTTGTATATGGAGTAGTCAAAATGCCTTTACTACAAAAGTGGATTGGAACGTTAATTACGTGATGGTGACAGTTTATTGCGTCGGTTGGTGCCCAAACTTTTCCTGTGTTAAATGTTGTTTCATTTGGAACTCCGAATCTATTTCCTGGTAATTTTGTTATGAACTTTTCGTAACTTCCTACAATTGTTGCTTGACTTGATTCTAACAAATTTAACGAACACCTATAAAATACAAACAAAAGAATTATTATTATTATTAATGTTATAATTCATTTCATATTAAAGTTAAATAACTTCAAAATTGAATGACAGCGAATTCGAATGGACTCTATCTGGCTTAAAAAAATCGTTATAGGCCCCATACACCTGCAAACAAATTGCGCAACAATCGCTGTTTTGCGAAAATTGTGTAGTGTATGGTGTTGGTTGATGCGTTTCGCAACTGGTTGCAGAAATTCAAAATTGTTTGGTTGTGCAACACCATTTGTTGTGTTCATGTGTTCTCAAGACGGCTAAACCAGAATTGTTCTAGTTCTTGTGTTAGCTCTAGTAATAGTGCTGGTGCAAAACTAGAACTAATACTAGACCTAGAAACATTGGAATTTAGCCGCACGTCTTTCAAGACGGCTAAACCCGAATGATTCTAGTTCTAGGTCTTGTATTGGCTCTAGTAATACTGCTAGTGCAAAACTAGAACTAACACTACACCTAGAACAAGAAAGTTTATCTAATGCTAACTAGCACTATCACTAGAACTAGCATTTGATCTAGAACTAGGTACATTCAGGTTTAGCCGTCTTAAGACGCATAGCTAAACCCGAATGGTTCTGGTTTTAGGTGTAGTGTTAGTTCTAGTTTTCGTTCAATAAAAATATGTCACAATCTAACGCTTAATAACAATTAAAACTAGAGCTAACACTAGATCTATAACTAGAAACATTCGGTTTTAGTTTTAAGTCTCCCAAGACAGCTAAACCCGAACGTTTCTAATTCTAGGTCTAGTTTTAGTTCAATAAAAGAGATCTTTCTAAGAAGCGGTAAAATTAAATAGTCGATATCGAAAATGTTTGTTTTGGTATCGTCAATTAATGCTATACAGGGTGGGCCAAATTCGACACTTTTAAAGGGAAACTCCTCTTTCTATAAGAAATAGAGGAAAAATGATATCAGTGTCTGAGGTTCGATTTTTATAAGAAACTTAATGGCGAAAACCGCATATCCGTATCTCTTACAGTTTCAGAGATACAGGTGTTTTTTAAAAAAGTGCCATTTAAAAAAATCATTTTTATGTCAATAACTGCTAAAATATTGCTTTGAGGGAAAGCTAACTTATTCCATGGAATTCTACCTACAAAGTTGCTTTGGAAATGTTTTCACAGAAAGGAAGATTTATCAATAAGAAAAAAGTTTATGACTATTTTTCGAAAACGCACTTTTTTGAAAAACACCCCTGTATCTCTGAAACCGTAAGAGATATCGATATGAACTAGCATTTGATCTAGAACTAGGTACATTCAGGTTTAGCCGTCTTAAGAGACGCATAGCTAAACCCGAATGGTTCTGGTTTTAGGTGTAGTGTTAGTTCTAGTTTTCGTTCAATAAAAATATGCCACAATCTAACGCTTAATAACAATTAAAACTAGAGCTAACACTAGATCTATAACTAGAAACATTCGGTTTTAGTTTTAAGTCTCCCAAGACAGCTAAACCCGAACGTTTCTAATTCTAGGTCTAGTTTTAGTTCAATAAAAGAGATCTTTCTAAGAAGCGGTAAAATTAAATAGTCGATATCGAAAATGTTTGTTTTGGTATCGTCAATTAATGCTATACAGCGTGGGCCAAATTCGACACTTTTAAAGGGAAACTCCTCTTTCTATAAGAGATAGAGGAACAATGATATTAGTGTCTGAGGTTCGATTTTTATAAGAAAGTTAATGGCGAAAACCGCATATCCGTATCTCTTACCGTTTCAGAGATACAGGATGTTTTTCAAAAAAGTGCCATTTAAAAAAAATCATTTTTATGTCAATAACTGCTAAAATATTGCTTTGAGGGAAAGCTAACTTATTCCATCGAATTCCACCTAAAAAGTTGCTTTGGAAATGTTTTTACAGAAAGGAAGATTTATCAATAAGAAAAAAGTTTATGACGATTTTTCGAAAACGCACTTTTTGAAAAACAGCCTGTATCTCTGAAACCTTAAGAGATATCGATTTTGCCATTAAGTTTCTTATAAAAATCGAGCCTCAGACACTGACATCATTTTTCCTGTATCTCTTATAGAAATAGGCGTTTCCCTTTAAAAGTGCTCAATTTGGCCCACCCTGTATATTTCAAAGTACCAACTAATAAATATAAGCTAATAACTCACCTTAAATTATTTTTATCAAACAACAACTTTGCAATCTGAGCCAACTCGGTAAGTATTGATTCATACCTTCTAGTTTTCATTAAAGTTCTCATATAACTAATATGTTGTAACCCTGTAAGTAAATCTTTCTGATAAGCTGCCCCTGAAACCAAGCCAGCTGCTGATTGCATAGCGTAAAGATGACCGCTTTCAGCAACACCTTGTGTCATACTGGTCATGTATAAGTGCGTTAAAGTCTCAAATCTCTTCACATCTTTGAATTCAGTCAAGTTAAATATTTCAGTCCAAAGATCCCACATAGCATCAACATTATGATCCAAACAATAACTTGACAATAATATACCCGGCTCATACACGTGTAATTGATACAAGCTTTCAGCAAAATGAACTGATATATTTAAACCGGTCGTTTTGGTCATAACTAAATTGTCAAATTCACGATAATTCATAGTTTTAGTTCCCATTTTTGTGATAATGTAACAGAACAATGGTAGAAGCATGTGTTGTTCTGGGGTTAGTTGAGAAGTATTGATTATTCCGCGAAAATAAGTGATTCCATTCGAGTTAACTTTATTTATTTGGGTTGGAACCGGTCCGATTTTGATCTTTTCAGTTTGGACGTGTTCGACGTCGTTGTTAATATCCTGCATCGTTAGAGTAGGTAACAATTCTTTGTTTTGTTCGGCACTTTGCTCTTTTAATAATAACAATCCTTTGTCATAAATGCTTTGTTTTATTTCATCTGTTAATGTGGCCACTTTGCTTTTAATTAATTCGTTTTCTTGTTGTAAAAGTTTAGATTCGTACTCTTTATCAGGCGACATAGTTAAAATGAGTTTGTGATTATTTTTTTTGAAATATTTCTCGACGGTATTTTGTAAAAATTTCGAATCGTTCTTTAAATCTGAACGCAATCTATCCAACAAATTATTCACTCTCAAACAACTGATGATGTCGCCCCCATGATTCCAAGTTGGAATCAGTCCAAACAATAAATTCAACCCAAAACTAGACATTTCATGTTTAACGCTGATTTCGTATCGATGTAGAACCGATTCAATGTGTTTAGATTCAAATCCGTTGGCGATTACATCATTAATTGTTTTTTCAAACAATTCTTGAACGGTTTCAAAATCGTCTACTTTTAATCCTTGTAATCCTATGGTGAAAATAGAATCCCTAGGTTGTGTGTCTAGTCCGGTACAAGGAATAAAACCCCCAGAAATATTTGGTTCAATCATCGATTTGTAAAACGGAGCATTCGGGCCTTTTATAAGTAACTCTGTGAGAAAACTCAATAAAAACACTTCATAAACATTTGTGACGTCAGTCATCACCAAAGAAATAGTTAAAGCATTTTGTTTTTCAAAGACATCCCCTAAATTATCATATCTACCTTCAGAATGAACTTTTTTTAAACCATCCCAACGTTTTTGAGAAGGCACCAAACTTTCACTTGGATTTTGGTACTCATATGATGATAAATAAGTTTCATCTAAATATTTTAATGTTGGACTAAGAGGAAAATTCCCGTACGAATAAAACCTTGCGTTACTCGGATGATAAGATTTCTTATGAAAATTTTTAAGATCCTCCCAAGTCAGTGATGGAATTTTTAAAGGATCCCCACCTGAGACATAACCATAAGTATGATCAGGCAAAATCAAATTTTGAACTTTCTGCTCTAAAATCCTTTCGTTTTCAGAAAACGCCCCTTTCATTTCGTTATAAACAATTCCTTTTATTATTAAATCAGTTTTAGGATCCTCTGGATTCACATTTTCCAACCTCCAACCTTCCTGTAGAAAATCTAAATATGATAAATTCGGTCGGAAAACTGCATCCAAATAAATCTTTTGCAAATTACAAAAATCCTGGAAATTTTGTGTACTGAACGGATACAACGTGTAATCAGACCCAGTCATTGCATTCATAAATGTTGCTAGGGATCTATTTAACATCTTAAAAAAAGGGTCTCTAACCGGGTAAAGTTTTGATCCACAAAGGACAGTATGTTCGAGGATATGAGGAAGACCTGAACTATCCATTGGAGTGGTACGAAAACAAATTGAGAAGACGTTGTTGTTATCATTTCGGTATAAATGCAAATATTCCGATTGAGTTTTTAAGTGCATTAGGCGAAGGGCTGTAATATTAAATTCCGTAATATTTTGAAGATCTTTAACTTCAAAACCATATGCTCTTGTACCAACTTTATATCCTGAAATAAAGATAGAATAATAATGAATTAAAGTTAAATATGAATAAAACCATTTCCTTACCTGAAATGTCAACAGATCCATCATCTTGAAGTTCAGCTTTAGTAATAGCTTGAGAAGACTGTCTAATAATCTGATGAACACTGTATAAGTTCAATTTTAAATTGGTAAGTTTTCGAAGCATCTTAACCTATACTGTAGGAGACGACGATAGTAAATTATCAATAATTTAATTAAAACGGGAATGTTCCCGTCGCTAATAACTTGTCATTTTGACAGTATTTACACATACCTGTACTTCACAAATAAATCCAAGACAACCAAAATTAGAACAAGAACAACGGGAAGAACATCACGTTCTAAGAATTGCGCAACGTTACGTTTTAAAAATTGCCGGTTACAATTTCTTTACACTCAACCACGAAGTTCTCATATAATCAGAAAATTCAATATCTAATTTCGTTTAAAATAATTCTAGATAGAATTAGGTTACAATAAAAGACTGAACAGGTGCTTTATAGGTTATGTTTTTTGATTTATGTGTACTTACTTGAATGGCGGGTAAATCGGCGTAATCAAAACAGTGAAAAAACACGATGTTGTTGCTGTTGATTCCTTGGAATGTTACACTAATTATTTATTAGTTTAGGTAAACTCGTATATGTTGATTTTCCTAATTTCTTTACCTGGTAGCACTTTATTGAGTTATGTACAGTTCCTAACCCTCAAACTCGATCAAAAACGTCAAAAACACACCGTTTAATAATTCAAACGTTTTGCCAACCTGATAAAGTTAAACACACACATATTATGAATTTTTATTTATAAAAATAACAATTAAGTAAACACTATAAAAGAGTTCGATAAATAGATTACTAATTTCATTTTAATTAACATTTTATTTTTTTGTTAACAAAATTAATCAATCCTATTATATCTCCATCTGTTGGTGAAATATTAAATTACGTCACGTGTGGTAGTGATTGTTTCAATTTTATTACATTCGTTTAAAGTCGTTTGTTACTATAGATTCTAGTTTTAGGTCTTGTGTTAGTCCTAGTGATAGTGTAAAACTAACACTAGACCAAGAACTAGAAACATTCGGATTTAGCCGCACGTCTCTCAAGACGGCTAAACCAGAATGATTCTAGTTCTAGGTCTTGTGTTAGTTCTAGTGATAGTGTTAGTGTAAAACTAGAACTAACACTAGACCTAGAACTGGAAATATTCGGGTTTGGCCGTGCGTTATCAGACGCACGGCTAAACCCGATACTTTCTAGTTCTAGGTCTAGTGTTAGATCTAGTTTTAGTGCAATGAAAATATGCAACATAGTGATATCTTATGCTAACTAGTGTGGTGAGGCCACCTCTGAACGGTCTCGACCTTTGGTAATAACGCTACCACTAGAAACAGTATTTCGCACTCATATCATCAATCAAAACTAAAGGACAAGCGCGCGGTCACTATTTCAGAACCGTGGGTTCTTGCACTAAGGCTCTGCCATGAAAAAGCGAAAATCAAAAGACAAGTGTTCTAACCACACTTAAACTGTATTAACAAAATAACAAGAAATAATTGACAATGAACAAAATGAACCTTAAAATCCACCTACGATATTTTTGAATCTAACCCCGACAGCTAATTCTCGTTGACAGATAGGTGATAACGGAAACTGGCAAACAAACTTACTCAGGACTTGTATTCCGATTTGGTGGCTCGTCGATGGATCGCAAACCTGGACCCCTTTTGGTGGCTTCTCGGAATTTAACCGGGAAGGTTTCAATACCAATCTTACACCAAATCCTCAGTGGAAACACAATTTCCGACACGACACGGATGCCCGAAGTGCAAAGAATGCTCACAAATGAAACTAAGTCACAGTTTTCGATATGCAACGACACTTAGAATTGGCGTTAAAGTGAATCGCTAAGTTGCTATCTAACGGAGCGCTGACGACGTTTCGACTCAAAAATCTCTTAGGTTCGTTGTGATTCTAATTGATTGTGATTGAATTCTCTTGTGATTGTTATGTGATTGTCTCGAAAGTAACCTCGGGTGTTGGAGGGGTGCAAAAACCTTCTTGAGGCGTTCCTATTGCCTGGATGTCCCCGACACCTAGGCCAATCCAAAATACGGGGCGAATGTTTTACAATAATTTTTTGAGCCAATGAGGGAATTTGGGGAAGGGAACAATTTTTGATCACGGGGCCAGAAGATAGCATCCGCCACTAGCTAATCCCAAAAATCATCACGTAAATCCCAAACTGTGGGAGCCATTAAACTTTACGTTTTCTAATGTCTATTTTATTTTTAACGACTTCTTCGTTATCACGATTTACATTTCCCCATAAAATTGCTTATACATTAATCTTTCGCAAAATTTATTTCGTCGTCTGGTCACCATTCCGGACGTCGGTTGTAAACGCGAGACGTGGTTTTTGGTTTTTAGAAGAAAAAGGTTGCACGCCAGAAATATACAATTCAAAAACCAAAACCATTAAATAATTCTCGAATTATTACACTAGCGCTACCTACCACCTAGACCTAGAAACATTCGGATTTAACCGCACGTCTCTAAAGACGGCTAAACTCGAATGATTCTAGTTGTAGGTTTTGTGTTAGTTCTAGTGTAAAACTAGAACTAACACTAGACCGAGAACAAGTAATATTCGGATTTAGTCGCACGTCTCTAAAGACAGCTAAAACCGAATGATTGTAATTCTAGGTCTTATATTAATTCTAGTGATAGTGTTAGTGTAAAACTAGAGAATTTTTGAAGACGCACGGCTAAACCCGAACTTTCTAGTTCTAGGTCTAGTGTTGGTTCTAGTTTTAGTGCAATAAAAATATGCAACATAGTGATATCTTATGCTAACTAGCGCTACTACCACTATCACTAGAACTAACATTAAACCTGGAACTAGAAACATTCAGGCTTAGCCATCTTAATAGACGCGCAGCTAATCGGAATGTTTCTAGTTCTAGGTCTAGTGTGGGCAAAGTAAGTATATAATGGAAATATATTTTTGTATATTGCATCTTAAGTGAAATTCACCGTATATGAAGCTGTAATAAATACGATTTAGACAAAAAATGTAAAATACTATACACTATGGCACAATGACCAATTTAGTTCAGGTCTCTTGGCTAAGGAACTAAAAGAAACATAACATTGAGTGTATGAAATGATATTTAGAGGATAAAGAAACAGGATGCTTCTCTGGGCATGATTTTAGTTAGGATCATTAACACATTGAAGTTTAATATGGTTAACAAAAAAAATTAAATCTAATTACTAAATTTGGGCGATGATTCAATTCTGTTGATTCAACATTGAAAAATAAACTTAACAACATAACAAATATAGAGTGCATTTATTTAAATAGAAATATACATAGTTTTATTTATAGGCAATTCACAATTTTAAGTTTAACAAGTTAAACATGTTAAGAACGCTATACTTAATGAATTTTTAATCACTTTCTCTCAAATTTCAACTAGATATAGCACATTTATATAACTATGTTACTGTGTTAAGCTCAATATTGCAAATACCTGCAGAAAATTCTACACAAATACTTAATAATAACAATAATAATAATGCGGATTACAACATATTACACGAAATAGTAATTAATTACAGCCTAATAACTAACGCAGCAACTACGATTAGAAAAATCACTGTGAAACGGTACTCAAATTTGCCGATACGACAAAATAAACAGATACACTAATTTTTCAACGGATCTAAACTTTCCAAAGAAAAATCATCGTTGCCGAAACTTATTCCACGACTAAATCCAGTCTAAATAAAACGAAAATAGTTTGTAAAAAGAATGTATTGAATTCTAGTCTTACCTTCATTTCAAGTAATCGCTTATCAAGCAACCCGATAGCGTTTTCAAGATCTTGTTGAGATGCCTGAGCGGATCCAAAATCGCCCATTTCGAACGGATCGATCGATTTCGAACTAGAAACGCTACGGAGGAAATTGTTTTCTTGAAAAAATCATATTCTTAATAGTTCTACTAAGTGCTGGGAGCAAATCACTTGCCTGTTTGGTGTTTGTGGTGTAGTTGGAGCGAATGGTGATGATCCGAAGAGATCCTGACCAAAAGATTTCGTTCCATTTTCGACTGTTGTGGGGATATTCGTACGTCTTGGAGCTTTTGGTGGAGGAGCCACTACAAAAAATAAAAATATAAATTTGTAACTTTATTTTAATAGAATTAAGTGAATGAACGAGAATATTTGCGTGAACAATATCAATTAACAGACTCAATTGAGGAAGTAGTAATTGTGACTAAGAAAAGGATAGAAAGAGATACTTACGCAAAGGAGGACTGGAGGAAGCGTTACCATTCGTTACATTGACCAGAGATTGTGTTGTAGAGCTTGAATTTTCGAATGATCTTGGATCGAAGTCGTCATCTTGATCAAACTCGCTCAATAATAATCCTTCTAATTTTGTGCCCACAGATGGAACATTATCAAAATTACGTGGAGGAACTGGAGGAGCAACTAAAAAAGGTTATTAATTAAAGTGAGATTGTAAATGCAAACCTGTTTTAATTGATTGAAAACTTTTGAAATTGCACAAGCTTTTACAATCACTTCAGAAAGTATAAGTATAAACTTATAATTATTTAAAATTGCTTAATTCCTTAAGAAAAACCTTTAATTATATCTAACATCATCTCCTATAATTTTTTATAGCCATAAAAACCGAAATAATAGCTCAAAATCATTAAAAATATATCAACGTCTATGTTTAAAAAAAATTAAATGCGATAACTGCCTTATATAACCTTCTTTAAAAGTCTTTTGAAGATCAAGGTCATTTTTTCAAATTATACCCGTTCAAGTATTACAAATTAGCAACTGCCTAATCTACATCAGAGATACGACAAACACAATATCAAGAGTTATTTAAAGAATGTGTGAATAATCTCAACAAATTAAATACTCCCATTCTAAGATTAATATCTTACCTCCATTTCCATTAGAAATGTTATCAAATCCACTATTTAAATCTAATAATTTTCCAGTAACACCATTTGTATGTTCGGATTTAGAACTAGAAGAAATAATTGATCCGTTCGTTTGCACCTCTAAAATATTTTTGATATCGTGTTTCTTCAAATACTGATCAAATTCATGTCTAATAGCACCAATTTGCGAAATCTCGAGTAACCGTTGTTTATAAACGTTATTCTCGTATTCTAATCGTTTGATTTTTTGTTGCGCTATCATGGTTCTCTTTTGCGCCTCGAGGTCTTTACCGGACGTTTCTAAGAACCGTTTGTAAGCCAATTCGAATGCCTGACCGATCGTTAACGTTATCTCCTCGGCCAGTTTATCCGAAATGAAAACGAAGCATTCGTGACTGTCTTCTTGCTCGTTATCCACTTGGTTAGGCTGTTTCGCGATAAATGAAAAAAATTTCTTTTCTCCTTTATCATCGGCGCAATACGATATTCTATGCAATGGAAATTGATGGAGGATATTGTGAGATTTCGGTTCTTGTATGGCCACACCGTCGACGCTTATCGTTAACTCTACTTTACGTGTTTTCGCACCCGTTTCGCTTTTACGTAGTTGTTGAGAAAAGGTTAGTTTACGTATAGCTTCTTTTACTATTTCTATACCTAGAAAAAATTACAAAATAAAAATAGTTTACTTTAACAGGTGACGGAAGAGGTATTATGTTTTGAACCGGAAGCAGGAAAAGACAAGAGTATTTCGTTTCAATTACCTTTCGGTTGGTCAACCACTGTATTACCCAGGAATTTCACGAGGTACGCGATGTGGCCTTTTTGCAGTGCATCCGGTGGATGTATCCACTTCCTTTCGCCGTTTGCCGCATTGTTTTTGTTGTTCATTTTTGCTTGTGTCGTGTTTTGAGCCCATTTTAATAAAGTTGACATTCTAAAAAAAAAACAAATTTAAGGTGTTTTATTATTAGATATTCATAAATATACGTGTATTATACATATGTATGTTACTAAGAATCCACTTTATAGGTTCTTAGAATTATAAACGATAAAAATGTAAATTCATTAAAAACAATCCTAATTCCAGTTTTAAAAATAGATTCTGTGCCGTCGTGAAAGACGAACGGCTAAACCCGAATGTTTTTAGTTCTGGGCCTAATGTTAGTTCTAGTGATTACATTACATTACATTACATAGAATACATATCGGGTAGGCGGACCAACCAACCTTGCACCGCGACCCTAAGGATCTATTGTACCCCGATAGATATCGTTATCAAATTTCACCGTGCAGTCCAATGCTCTTAACGAACATTAATACCTTGCTCGGCGAAAGGTCATTCAGATCTTTTGAGGAGATAAACTGCGACCCAAAAATCGAGAATCTGATACGGTTAACGGCAGGGTAATGGCACAAAACATGCTCAACCGTCTCTGCTTCCTCCGCACATAGTCGGCATTCAACATCGTCGGCTAAACCCAACAAGTTGAGGTGTGCTTTTAATCGGCAGTGCCCAGTAAAAACACCCATTAGAACTTTTATGCTACTACGGGCAAGTCCTAAAATATTCCCGGGTTTGACAGTGGCGATGTTAATAAACACCTTAGCATGTCTCATTCCAGGAGAACTGGTCCACAGTAGGCGAAGTCTCTCTTCAGCCCACAGTCCAATCCTATATTTGGCCATCGCAAATGATACACCAACTGCTGGTTCCGGTCCCACAAACGCTTCAGCGCTGCCATCTCGTGCTAGCTTATCTGCCGCTTCATTGCCAGCAACCCCAGAGTGACCCGGGACCCAGATCAGAGAGACTCTGTTATCACAACTCAGTGTGTTTAATGTTCTCTTACAATCATTAACCAGAGCCGACACCGTTTTCACGGCTTGCAGCGCCTGGAGAGCGGCTTGACTGTCTGAGAAAATTCGTACTGTCATGTTCTTCACCCCTCTTTCAAGAAGGATTTTAGCACCCATGTCAATAGCAAATACTTCCGCCTGGAATACAGTACAGTACGTACCCAGGCTGTAGGCTTGCTTAATTCGAGGTGTCTGGCAGTATACTCCTGCTCCTACCCCTTCAGGCGTTTTTGATCCATCTGTGTACAAGCAAATGTCTGCCCGAACCAGAGAATTTTCATTTTCGATCCAGGACTGCCGCTCAGGCAGTACAATCTGGTATCGAGCATTAATCACTGATAGTGATACCGCCAAATCTGACGGCATTGATAGCACAGTATCAGTGCTTATAATGTCTTCCGCAGCCCATTGGTAGGACATGTCGGAACAGTTTTGAGCATATTGCTTAAATCTGTAAATGGTTGTTCTAGCCACTTTCTCTATATGCAAATGCAGAGGAGATAGGCCAAGCAGAACCTCCATTGCTAGAGTTGGCGTTGTGCCTATCGCACCAGAGATTGCCAATCCAGCTACTCGTTGAATTCGTGAAAGTTTACTGATAACTGAAGTCTGTCGGACTTTCCTATACCAGGCTGCTGCTCCGTATGTGATCATAGGTCTAACCACAGTCACATAGAGCCAGTACAGTCTTTCAGGGGTAAGACCCCAATTTTTTCCACAAAGACTGCGACAAGTCCACAAGGATAGTCTAGCTTTGTGCAAAACTCCCTGCAAATGTCCATTCCATGACAGGGTTTTGTCTAGGATTACTCCTAGATATTTGACTTCCTTTGAGAAAGGAATTTCTTCACCTTGGATAGTTGGGCGGATTAGTCCATCCAACTTTCGCTTCCTGGTGAAGGGCACAACAATTGTCTTTTGCGGGTTTATTGAGAGGTTCTCTCCCTTACACCAAGCGCAAATGGTATCTAGGGTCACCTGGAGGACTTTAGATATCCTCGGCAAACAGGTTCCTTTGACCATAACGACAATGTCATCAGCATAAGCTTGTATTTCCACACCAACGGCTTCGACTATCGCAATCAGATCGTCAACTAGGAGGGACCAAAGCAGGGGAGATAACACCCCTCCCTGCGGGCAGCCACCTCCCGGCCTGAAGCGTATCGTATCACCGTGGAGTGAAGTAGAAACTATTCTACTATCTAGCATATTGCGGATCCAACCCGCTATAGTTGCTTCCACTCCCCTGTCAAGAGCAGCTCTTTCAAGAGATTGTGGTATTGCGTTGTTGAACGCTCCCTCTATATCCAGAAACGCACAAACCAAGATTTCTTTATCCTGCAGCGTCCTGGATACTCTACCAACTAAGTTGTGTAGAGCCAATTCTGCTGATTTTCCCGCTTGATAAGCATACTGGTGGCGACTCAGTGGACCAGATACCAATGGCACAGTACGGATATACCGTTCCAGAACTTTTTCAAGGGTTTTCAGCAGAAATGACGTTAGGCTGATGGGTTGAAAGGCATTAGAAGTAGGGACCGAACGGCCCGCTTTGGCAACAACCGCTTTACCAAAATTGGCAACAACAAAGACCTCCCCTGCTGTAACAAAGCAGGAAAAATATTGTCTTCTCCAGGCGACTTGAACGGCTTAAACGTTTGAATTGCCTGGTCCACGGATGTGTAAGTGACGACTTTTCTAGCCACACTCCAATCCGTATTTGAGGGGCGCTTTGCCTTGCAGGAATAGCCCGCTGTGGCATTATCGGCCCTCACCATCAGGCTTCCTGGGAAGTGAGTCTGCATGAGAAGCTCCAACGAGGCTCTGCTAGAGTCCGTAAAACTACCGTCAGGCCGCCTAAGTGAGCCCAGGGGTAGTGCCGGATCTCTAGCGAGAATCTTGCGAATTCTTGCACTGCTGGGTGTGTCTTTCACTCCCTCACAGAACCTCCTCCAAGACTCTCTTTTTGCCTTACGTATGTTTTTGGTGTAATTCGTTAGAGCCTGTTTATATAGTTCTAGTGATAGTATTGATTCTAGTTTTTGTTGTTATTTAGTGACAGGTTGTTGCATATTTTCAAAGAAATAAAACTAGAACTAACACTAGACCTAGAACTAGAAAGTTTCGGGTTTAGCCGTGCGTCTTCGGACGTGTTAGTTCTAGTTTTAATTGTTAGGCAGCGCTAGACCAAGAAGTGGAATCATTCGGGTTTAGCCGTCTTAAGAAACGTGCGGCTAAACCCAAATGTTTCTAATTCTAGGTTTAATGTTAGTTCTAGTAACAATACAAGTGTAAAACCAGGATTAACACTATACCTAGATCTAGAATCATTCGGGTTTAGCCGTCTTTAAAGATGTGCGGCTAAACCCAAATGATTCTAGTTCTAGATATAGTGTTAGTTCTACATAGTAACGGTGCTAGTGTAAAACTAGAACTAAGACTAGACCTAGAACTAGAAACATTTGAGTTTAGTCGTGCGTCTGAAGAAACTTTCTAGTACGAGGTCTAGTGTTAGTGATAGTGCTAGTGTTAGTTCCGGTTTTAGTTGAAACAAAGATTAAATTCAATTTTATTTATGTAGAATGTATGGAATTACAATTAAGTACATCAGCGTGTTCCTGTAATGTAAATGTAAATTGAATCGCGTCATAACGAACTTGAAACCAATTAATTATGCTGACAACGAAGGTCAGTTTCGCTTTAATGAAAATACCAGTTAGAACATTATCGGTTTTCATCTGGTAAAAAATATATACCTTCACTATCTCATTTGCCAAATGATGTAACAAACCGTAAATTTCTCTATTAATGTTACGCAACAAAACAACCTTCAATTCAACTTTTGTGTCGTCTCTCATCATTATATCTTTTAACTCTTGGAATCATGAGATGTTTTTAATTTAACGTATGCAAGACTCGGCTATTGTTCTTCATGAAGCGGTGCACTATGAATTATTATCTCGACAAAACCAGCCCGTATACATATTACATAGAGAGAGCAACAGTAAACGCTTGTTGTTGTCAAGGATTCACATTGTTCGATCTCGATAATTACACGATGGTACGTTACATCATCACGAAGGTCGACGGTATTCTTATTTCTTATATCTCTTGAAGAAGACAACGTTCCATATCTACATACAACATTTTATCTTTTCATTTATAGTTATTTGCAATTTTTTAACTTGATATGCAAAATTCCTTTTAACTTGATAAACACGTTTAATTATCGCAAATTTACGATGCGCAATTTATAAATGACTGTGGTATTAGGTATTCAGCAATAAACTACAGAGTAATAAACATAAATATTTGTGTTCCTAAATACCGTGTTGCTACTGCATAAAGGTCAATAACCAGCTCCTAATTACGTTTTATTTTCCTAAATATGTGGGTTTAACGTTTTCGTTGAAAATTTTTGATTCAATTGTAAACGTCGACCTCATTTTTTGAAATGATTAATCGATTAAATTAACACTTACTTAGGTCAGGTTCATTAACCTACTTCTGCGTTCGAATCTTAGCGTGTATGTAACAGTAAAAACCAAACTAAAATATCGGATGAACGCAAAGAAAAAATTCTTCGCGATAAAAACTCTTTTAAAACTCGACGTTGAAGCATGCCACATTAATTATCATTTACCGATTTAAGTTTGCGAAAGACGGATTGAACTTTCGTGGGAATCTTCAGTTTAAAGTCTTGACCTTTCACATAAACGCAAACTTTCTTCAAAGATAATTATTCAATTTCTAGATTACATTATAATCTTTTTTTATTTTACGTATTTATAGGTAAAATATAATCTTAGATTTGTTTTCTAAGTAGTATTTTAAACACATTTCTTGTGGTAAAGTTAATTTTCTTGAGTCAACTTTCACTATAATCACTTGGCGTGTATCCGTTAGGAACCGATTTGCAAATGAATCTACAACACTCAGCAACGAAAATACTTCATTTAACTGATGAAAGTGAACCATGAGTCATCATCAACCTAGATTTATATAAATTGAGGAACGAAAGTATGTATTAATTAATTATAGTAATCGCGTTTCACTAATTTTGGAACTAAATCAGAA